CCCAGCTTCTCTTCTGTTTCCACAGTCTGCACCCAGCGCTTGGTTCTCCATTTTCCTTCTGGTTTTGGGGTTTTTGTCCAATGTAAAAAACAAGCGCAGTCCTCATTTCCTCTAAAAGCGGAGAATGGATATCAGCACTGGTCCAGCTCTGGGCTTTGTTACACCTGCTTTGTATACATTTTTGCCATTGCTATTATACATTATTGCTATTACACAGATTTTCTTTCCTGTTGAACTCTACTCCTCAGGAGCAGTGGCTTCAGCAGGTGGAAGAGTTGCTTTCTGTGGGCACTGCTTAAATATTCACTTCCATCTCATCTTTACGGCCTTGGGAGAAAGCAAGGGTTTCTCTTATATTCGGTTTTCCCGGTGGCCTCCAGCTCTGCCCGCCGTGGCGTTCCCCAGCCATAACCCACAGACACCTCTTGGTCCACCCTCGCCTCCATGGGTGCCCCGGCAGCTCTGGACCTCCTGGTCCCTGCAGCAGCCCCCTCCTCCCATGGCCTCACCCCTGGGACGCCCCTGTCCCTGCTCGGTGCTCACTGTGTGCTCCCTGGTGCTGCGCAGGGCCGAGGGGGCCCTGACCCTGGTGGGGAGCCCAGGTGCTGCTGCTCAGCCCCCAGACACTCGCGTGCACGCAGGAGACACAGGCCCTTGCCCAGGGAAGTGGTTAGAAATGTGGTTTGGTACAAAGACGGGACAGACTGCACTGGCTGAGCACAAGGCACGGCCACATGGATGTACTGACCAGCAACTTGTTGACTCTTTTTATCCCCTTGTCCCTCTGTTTTCCCGTGTTTGTCCCCAGAGACATCCCAGGAGTTGTCCTGCGCAGTACCAAGGTACTGCTGTGCTTTCAGCTCCCCGCCTGCTGTGGTGTCTGGGCAGAGGAGCCTGCTCTGGCTCTCCTGCCCTGGGAGTAGCTGGACCAGGGGTTTTTCTGGGTTTGTCCACCTGTTCTTGCCTCTCAGAGCTCTTCTGTGTATGTGCAGCTGAGCTTTTTATCACAGAACTCAATCATTACCTGTGCCAGGAGATTCCCTGCAGCTTCCCCTTGATTAAACCCAGGTGAGGAAGGAGAGCAGAGGGTTTTGTCTTTGTGGGGTGCCACCCATGTCCTGGCTGGGCTGTGGACCCGCAGCACCATAGGTGTCCTCCAACACCCCCAGCCCTGTGCTGGCCCTGCCTGCACTGAGGGGGTCATGGCTGGTTTGGGGCACTGGAAAGGGTGGGAAGGGAGAAGATGCAGCTGAGAGCAGGGCAATGAGGTCTTGGAGAATTCAGAGCAGTGACTGAAGAGGGGACAACCTGAGCGTTGCAGTGCAGTAGAAGAGCAAAGGAGATTGAGCAGCCTCAGAAATCAGAGTTGGGTGAAGCTGCTCCAGTGTTGTTTGTTGAGCTGGGTTGGACCATGGGGAGGGTGCAGATGGATGCTGGCAGTGACAGAGCAGGGACATGGAGGCGTTATGGGGTGGAACAGATTAAACACCATGAATGGTCCCATCTCTGGGGCCATCCTCCATCAGGCTGGGTAACCAGAACATTGGGAGCAAACATTGCTGCAGCTCTTGTGCAGCTTTGCCCCCCTGCGTTGGTGCTGGGAGCATCTCATGTGTCTGCACATCTGGGTGTTGGGCCAGTGCTGCCATCCAGGGCGTTTCAGGCTGTGGTGCGGTGCTGGAGAAGCAAAAGCAGCCCAAGGATTTTCACTTTCATCTGGGAAACTGCATTTTTATGAAAGAAACTGAGCTTCAGTGATACCAAGAAACTGAGCTTCAGTGATACCATGCTCAAAAAAACAAACAACAAAAAAACCTCCATTATCTGCATTGCAGGGAGTGGATGAATCTGTCCTGGACAGCATCGTCTTGCCTGGCACCATGGGTCGTGCCAGGGACTCCAGGGACCACAGCGTGTGGTGTTCCCAGCCCAGCTGCTTTTGGTCAGCACGAGGTGTTTCGTGCTGGCCCCTTGGCCGTGGGGCAGCGTGGAGGCAGGCACCGTGGTGGAGGAGGGATTTGGGGCAGGGAGCAAGGCCGTGCTTTGCTGAGGGGGACGTGCGCTCTCCCATCTGAGAGAGGTGGCTCCTGCAGCCCGTCCCTTCCTGGAGGAACAGCACCCATCACCCATGAGCCATGTCTGGGGTGGCTTCCGCACGGCCAGGGGTGCGATGTGACCCCGTGGTGTGGTCCAGGATCCCTGATGGAGTTGCCTGCAGCTCTCCAGCGATAGCTCTCCACGTTTTCCCATCAAAGCCTGATAATTCTTGAAAACCTGGCCCATAAAGTGACTTGTGTGTTGAACCTCAGTCCACACGGCCGTGCCCCATGCCAGCCAGCGGCAGAGGGATCCCTGCCTGCTTCCCCTCCTCCCCTTCTCTGCCAGTCCCCGCCGTGGTTTCTGGGTGCCCCACGGCTCAGAGACCCCTTGGGTGCCGGGCTTTGCTGACGAGCGCAAAAGGGAAGTGAAAAAGGGAAGTGGTGGGTGTTGCAGAGCCAATGGAAGAGGTCAGGAAAACCTTGGGGACTCGCTGACGCTGTGGGTCTGGAGGAGCCGTTGGCTCAACCAGGCACAGAATTCTGCTTATCAGAAAATGGCATAAATTGCCTTCTGCTTTTGAGGGTTGTGTTAACCGAAAGAAAGCCCTGAAAAGTCCTAGAGAAACCAAGGTTTTAAGTTGTTGAAGAGTTGCTGGGATGGGCTCAGCCATGGCTGGCGGTTCCTGCAGGTTTCTGGCACTGCTGGCCAAAAGCCTCAGTGCTGCATTACCCCAGTTACCAAACTCTCTTCCCCAGTGTCCCACAGCAGGGCCTTGTACAAGGGTGCAGTTAAAACCCGAAGGAGATGACCCCGTTCTGAGTCCTGGTGGAGCTGCTGGCGGTGCAGGGTGAAGGGCCCAGGGGTGCCACGTCACCGCTGGGGCCCCCACAGCATCCCCTGGTGCTGCTCAGCCTGGGACCATCTCGCAGTGCTGGGATTTGAGCAGCAAAGCGGGAAGCGGGGTGGGCTTTGACAGCCCAGCACCATCCTGTCCATGCAGCCTGACTCCGGGCACAGGGGCTGACGAGGCCCCATCTCCCCACGGCAGCAGAGGGACAGGTCCTGCCCACCAATCCAACAGGAATAACCTGCTTTGGCAGCAGTGCTGGGATGCTGCAGAACCACTGGGATGCTGCAGAACTGCAGTGATTCTTGCTGCTTCTGCCTGACATGGCTCGGAGCTGCGCTGGGGAGGGGGAGAGGGGACCCTCTGCACCCCTATGTGTCACCCAGCATGGGTCCCTGGCTGTCACACACAGGGCTGGAGCACCCACCCTGCAGGCTTGCAGGAAAGCAGAAGTCAGCCTGGTTTGGCCTGGGCTGTAAGTGATCCCTGGAATCACAGAATCACAGAATACTGGGGTGGATGGGTCCACAAGGATCCTCCAGTCCAACTTCCCAAGGTAGAAGTACCATTTAAATGAGATGGGTCAGCACCCTGCCAAGCTGACTCTTCAAACTGCCCAATGTAGGGGAATTCACCACTTCCCCTGGAGATTGTTCCAGTGTCTCATTGATCTCATGGTAAAAAAATTTCTCCTGGAGTTCAATTGAGATCTCTCCAGACACAACTTGTGTCCATGGCCCCTCGTCTTTTCTCCCCTTGTGAAAAGGGAGTCTCCATCTTTTTGGTGCCACCCTTCATGTACTGGTACAGGGTGAAAAGGTCCCTCCTGAGCCTTCTCTTCCCAAGGCTGAACAGGCCCAGTTTTCTCAGCTCTTCCAGTCCTCTGAGCATCCTCATCTCCCCTCTCTGGACCCTTTCCAACCTGTCCACATCTTTTTTTACAGCAGGGACCAAAACTGGACACAGCACTCAAGGTGTGGTCTGAGCAGCGCTGAGTAGAGAGGGATGATGACTTCTTGATCTCTGCTGGTGATGCCCCTTTTAGTGCAGCCCAGCAACCTCTTGGTTTCCTTACACTGCAGCACTGTTCGCTCATGTTGAGCTCCTCATACCCCAGGACCCCCAGGTCCCTTTCCACAGGGCTGCTCTCTCTAATATTGAATGTGGCTCTCTGTATGGATCCCTATTGGATCAATGTTGCCAGCTGGACCCAGTCTCAGCTGCATTCTTTGATGATGCATTCCCAGATGCAAGACCTTACATTTGTCCGTGTTGAACTTCATACAGATCCTGCTGGCCCACTGGTCCACACTGTCCAGGTCTTCCTGGACTCCCTTCTGGGGTGTCAACTGCCCCGCTCCTTTTGGTGTCATCAGCAAACTTCATCAGAGAACTCCTGGCCCCAACATTCAGATCACTACTGAAGATATTAAATAGTGGGGAATGTGCTGGAGCCCTCAGGACCTGCAGCTGAAAAGGAGCTGATGCAGGAGGGGGCTCCCCTGCATGGGAAGCTGCACCCAGGAGCCTTGCGGGGCTGCCTTTGTGGGAGAGGCTGGGGGCTGATGTGGCCCAAACCTGGGGTCACTGCAGAGGGCGAAAGTCTCAGCCTCCTCCTAAGAAGGGCTTTGGAATCCCTGAGGAAGGGGGTGGGCTGGGCAGGTCCCAACCCCACCGCTGGGGGCTGCAGGTTGCTACGGGGCCGGGGTCCTCACTGGGGCAGCCAGGGCATCCTGACCCCCAGCAGCAGCAGCAGCTGTCCCATCCTGGGGGCGTTTTGTCTCCTTGGCTCTAACATCAGCCCAGGTTGCCCAGAGAAGCTGTGGGTGCCCCCTCCCTGGCAGTGCCCAAGGCCAGGTTGGACGGGGCTTGGAGCAGCCTGGGCTGGTGGAGGTGTCCCTGCCCATGGGGGTTGGACTGGGGGGCTGTGAGGTCTCTTCCCACCCAAATCTTGCTGTGATTGATTCTGTGGTAATTTTGCAGCTGGTGTGGACCAGGAGGAGGGTTGTGCTTTGCCTGGTGCAGGGCTGGCAGAGCCTTGGGGTTGTTTCTGGCAGCTGCTGGGGCTGCTGGGCGTCCTAACGCTGTTTCGCCTTGTTCCCTGCAGTCAGGACAGTTCAACGAAGACATGATCCCGACGGTAGGCTTCAACATGAGGAAGATCACCAAGGGGAACGTTACCATCAAGGTAAGATGCAGCTGTTGGCACCAGTGCAGGCTCTTGGGATGAAAGGTGAGGTGAAAGCAGACTCAGTGGGACGTCTGCTGGAGGTTGAGAGATGCCAGCAGCCCCAGCTGCAGCTGGGAAGATTGGTTCTGTTGGGCTTCTGCCACCATAGGAGATGGTGGGGAGGGATGGAGGAGACTCAGACCTCTGCAGAAAGAGCCAGTCTGGGCTGCAAAGCTGGAGGTTTTCTTACAGCTCTGGCTTGCTGGTGGGGACTGGTGAATGCGGTCACCTCGCTGAGGGTGGGAGTGCCAGGAAAAGCAGATCAGGGCTGGCAGCGGTGGTCTCTGCCTCGAGAGCAACGCGAAAGGAGGTTTCTGCCCCTTGTGGATCTTTGAAAGACCCTGGGTTGAACTGGGAAATAATGTTGGGAAGGGCTTGAAAAGCTGCTGGGAGATCTCTGCCGGCTGCAGAAACATTTCCAAGAGTGTGCTGTGTGTTTTGGAAGGGCAAATGCAGCAGTGGAAGGGCTGGGAGGGGCAGTGGGCAGTAGGAGGAGCCCCCCAGCTTCAGTCAGGGGGTCACTGTGCCAGCAGATGCACACTGCAGGAGGTGTTCAGCACCTTCCAGCTGCCCTTCCTGTGATGTCTCCTGTAGTTATCGAGTTGGGAGCCTCCTCGTTTGGTCTGAGATGAAGAGGAGGGGATGGGGGTGGGTTTGGTGCACGCCGGGTGCTCTGGCCGGGTGGCAGCACTGGGGAGGGTCGTGGGTGGTGCAGTGGGGTGACGGGCAGGATGGTGGGGTGGCAGGGTGGTAACACCGCCTTCTCCCTGTCACAGCTCTGGGACATCGGTGGGCAGCCGCGGTTTCGCAGCATGTGGGAGCGGTACTGCCGCGGAGTGAGCGCCATCGTGTGAGTACCCTGCGAGCCGCCGGTGCTGAGCCCTGCCAGTGGGGGGGACACAGCCCCACGGCCTCCCCCCAGGGCGCTGTGCAGTGCTGAGCTGCGATGCCTTTGCTGCTGGAGCCCGGAGCAGAGCTGCTTCACCCTGTGCCTGGTGCAGCCACAGGCACTGAGTGCAGGGCAGCGCTGTCCCTGCCAGCTGTGCAGACCCTTCCCTTCCAGCACCGCTCAGCCCAGCTCTGTTCCTCGAGTCCCTTCCCAGCTCCTGAGCTTCCCCTGCACTGCTGGGTCATCGCTGGGGCTGAGCAAAGGCCATGGTGTGGCTCGGCCCTTCCCAAGGGTTTGGTTTTATGGGTGGCTGCCAGCAGTGTGCGGCCAGGTCGTGGTGTTCATGTGCTGCTGGTCGAGTCTTGTGCTGAGAGGAGTCTCCCTGCAGTGCCCGCTGCTGTCAGCACGTCTGAGTGTCCCCATGTGTCCCCTGTTGCAAACGTGGCAGCAAGCACAGTCCCAGGGAGTTCAGGCTGAGGAAGGACCTGGCAAGATGCTCATGGGACGCAGGGTGCCCGCTCCTAAGGACAAGTATTTACCCCAGGAGAACACAGAGGTGTTGCTTGAATCCAGTCAGAAAGTCAGATTTGTGTGGTCTTCACCAGTTGACAGTCCCCTGGGATTTTGGAGGACTGGGCTTCTGCACTGCCCTCCCAGACTGTGTGTCTGGCAGGTGAGGAGGAGCGAGGGACCGTTTGTGCGGCTTTTTGGGACAGCAGTGTCTGGTCCTGCCCTTGCTGATTGTCGCCGTGTTGGGACAAGAGCTTGTCGCTTTCTATTACAGTGAGCTTTGCTAGAAATGACAGAATCATGGGGTTTCCACTCCTTTGACTGCCTGCTTCCATATTTTTTCCAAAGCAGCCTGTCTGATTGAGAGGAAACAAAGGGACCTGTGGTCATCCAGGTCATGCTGCCGTCTGCCTTCCTCGCCGCATCCTTTTTCCCATGCCTTCAGCCTTCCGCCCCGATTGTCCTCTCCCCAATTTGGCTTTGTCCTTCGCAGGATGAGTGTCTGCCTGTCAGAACTCAGTGCTTCCCTAAGTGTCCCCATCTGCTCAGAGCAAGCATTGCTGTCTGCTGGCATCGCCTGCCCCCTGCTCCATGCCCCATGCCCAAATGGCTCCTGTAGGGAGGACGAGCAGCTCCTCCCCCTGCCAGGATCTTGGGTCATTGTCTTCTATATCATCAGCTCCTCTTGTCTTCTCCACTCCTCCTCTATTCTGGGTGTCCCCATAAGGAGCTGCCATGGGTGGATAAGCTTTTTTGGGGCGCTTGGGGTCAAGGTGTCTCTTGCAGCTCCTGCCCGGGCAGTGCCAGGGCTGTCCTCGCCAGCCGTGTCAACGCGGGAATGGAGACAGGGAAGTCCCCCACTCCCCTGGGAGACACCAGGGGCTCTGAGCCCCACAGCCTTCCTTGGGAAGAGGGGTCCTGGGGGAACGACCCCGTTATCCATCACTGGGAGCTGGTGGGGGTGATGCCTCTGCTGTGAGAGCAGGGTTTGGTGGTGGCAGGGACCTCAGCACAGGGGTGCCTGTGCTGAGGGGTGTCCCTTTCCTTGCAGGTACATGGTGGACGCCGCCGACCAGGAGAAGATCGAGGCCTCCAAGAATGAACTGCACAATCTGCTGGACAAGCCGCAGCTCCAGGGCATCCCGGTGAGCTGTTGCCTGCATTGGTTCCCCCGGCCGCTCATGGTCCCCGGGCTGCCAGGGTTTGCAAATTGCAGAGCAGATTTTGTCGGGGGGGAATCCCTTTCCTTGGCAAGGTCCCCTTCTCCACCACACTCCTGCAGGAGCTGGGACAGTGATGCTTTCTAGCCCAGGGCTGGGTGTCCAGCAGGGAAGGAAGCTTTAGAAGAGACCAACTCCCCGCCACGTGTGAGATCTGTCCTCTCGCATGAATTTGCACCTTATTTATGGTGGGACGTGAAGGTCTCGTCTCCAAGGAGAGCGGCTGCTGGGCTGTGACATGTGCAGGAGGTGGCGGTGGCGCTGCGCGTGCCGGGGCGGAGCGCTTACGGAGCATCCAAATTCGGCATCCTCTGAAAGCCGATCGAGGATCCCAGACGTTCGCTGCTGACTAAATTAAGCTCCCGACATAACGCGCTGCCTGTGCAGCCCTCCTGAGTGCTCTTTTTTTGAGAACAAGTCTCCAAATTTAAACTGGGGGATGCTGCTGCTGTGGAGGCCCCGGCTCACCCCGGGAAGGCAGCAATGTCCTCGTTAGATGAGAGTTGTGTGGCGTGCTCCAGAGGGATGGACGAGTCCTGCAGGGTGGTTATTCTCCTTTGCATTGTCTGAGGATGCCTTTGTGGATGTGAAAAGCCTTGAAGTAGGCAGAGATCAGTGGATGGTGCAAGCAGCCGTTGCCTTTTTGGTCTGGCTGCCCATGGAGAGCAGGTTCTGCACAGCGTCTGTGTCTCGCTCCTTCCTGATAACGTCTTTTTTCGCCATTTCACTTGATTTTTTTGCTCAAAGACAGCGGGAGGCTCCTGGGAGAGCGTCCTAGATAGCACGAGAGATGCTGGTGCCCTTCAGGGAGGATGTGCTGTGGGGCCAGCTTCTCACTGGGACTAGAAGGGTGCACAGGAGATGCTTGTGCAGGCTAATTAAGGCTGTTAATTGACGTGCTCTGTCTGAAAGGGTCTTTTTCACCTGGGCACACCCTGATGAAGTGGCCAGGACTGTCCTACATCTCCAGCAGGGTCCACTTCTGGGTGGCAGAAGCAGGTTCCCGCCTGGTCTGGTGGCTGGGAGCTTCAAATGTCCCCTCTGCCCCCTGCAGGTCCTGGTCCTGGGGAACAAGCGAGACCTGCCCGGTGCCTTGGATGAGAAGGAGCTCATTGAGAAGATGTAAGTGTGCTGGTGGCCGCCGTGGGGCTGTGACACACTCCACTGTTCCTGCCTCGTCTCCACTGGCACGGTCACCCACCTGGGGTGGCATCGTGGTGCTTGGATGGGGACATCCCGAGCTGGTGGCTGACGGAGGTGACGTCTGTGGGGACGGGGAGGAGCTGGGAGCCATGGCCACCAGTGCCAGGTCCCGGGTGCCACACGGTGGCGTTGGGGCCCGTCACAGTGCTCAGCGATGGCGCTGCTGCTGCCCCCTCTCGCCGCTCTGCCCCGCAGCCTCCTGCAGGCACCCCTGGGGTCTTGGAGGTCCAAATCCCAGCCCGGGACACCAGCCACGTCCTTCTCCCTTATTTTGCCATCTCTGCTTCCCCCCAGCCACCCCTCAGAGACCTCCCCTGGCGCATGGGCACCCACGCAG